TACAGACCAACACCCAGTGCTCATCCCGTCAAGTGCCCACCCCAGTGCCCGCCACCCAGTCACCCCCATCCCCCGCCCACCTCCTCCTCCACCACCCCCAGTCCATTTCCCAGAGTTAGGAGTCTCCCATGTTCTGTCTCCCCTTCTGACATTTCCCACCCATTCCTTCTCCTTTCCCCTTAATTCCCCTTCACCACCCTTTATATTCCCCAAATGAATGAGACCATACAATGCTTGTTCTTCTCTGATTGCCTTATTTCACTCAGCATAATACCCTCCAGTTCCATCCACGTTGAAGCAAATGGTGGGTATTTGTTGTTTCTAATGGCTACGTAATATTCCATTGTATACATAAACCACATCTTCTTTATCCATTCATCTTTCAATGGACACTGAGGCTCCTTCCACAGTTTGGCTATTGTGGACATTGCTGCTATAAACATTGGGGTGCAGGTGCCCCCGCGTTTCATAGCATCTGCATCTTTGTGGTAAATCCCCAGCAGTGCAATTGCTGGGTCATAGGGCAGATCTACTTTTAACTCTTTGAAGAACCTCCACACAGTTTTCCAGAGTGGCTGCACCAGTTCACATTCCCACCAACAGTGTATGAGGGTTCCCTTTTCTCTGCATCCTCTCCAACATTTGTGGTTTCCTGCCTTGTTAATTTTCCCCATTCTCACTTGTGTGATGTATCTCATTGTGGTTTTTTTTTTCATTGTGGTTTTGATTTGTATTTCCCTGATGGCAAGTGATGCAAAGCATTTGCTCATGTGCATGTTGGCCATGTCTATGTCTTCCTCTGTGAGATTTCTGTTCATGTCTTTTGCCCATTTCATGACTGGATTGTTTGTTTCTTTGCTGTTGAGTTTAATAAGTTCTTTATAGATCTTGGAAACTAGCCCTTTATCTGATAGGTCATTTGCAAATATCTTCTCCCATTCTGTAGGTTGTCTTTGAGGTTTGTTGACTGTATCCTTTGCTGTGCAAAAGCTTCTTATCTTGATGAAGTCCCAATAGTTCATTTTTGCTTTTGTTTCTTTTGCCTTCGTGGATGTATCTTGCAAGAAGTTACTGTGGCCGAGTTCAAAAAGGGTGTTGCCTGTGTTCTCCTCTAGGATTTTGATGGAATCTTATCTCACATTTAGATCTTTCATCCATTTTGAGTTTATCTCTGTGTATGGTGAAAGAGAGTGGTCTAGTTTCATTCTTCTGCATGTGGCTGTCCAATTTTCCCAGCACCATTTATTGAAGAGACTGTCTTTCTTCCAGTGGATAGTCTTTCCTCCTTTGTCGAATATTAGTTGACCATAAAGTTGAGGGTCCACTTCTGGATTCTCTATTCTGTTCCATTGATCTATGTGTCTGTTTTTGTGCCAGTACCACTCTGTCTTGATGACCACAGCTTTGTAGTACAACCTGAAATCTGGCATTGTGATTCCCCCAGCTATGGTTTTCTTTTCAGGGACAAGTCTTAACCTGAGCAGGAACAATTTTGAGAACTCAGAATGATTAGCAAGCATAAAATAATCATATGATGGATCGAGCAAAAAATTTTCTGGTGGCCCTATGTATACTCAATCTTCATATCAGACCTGCAAATTCAACATTATTTCCCCTGAATGCCTATATGAGGAAGTTATTCCTTACCTATCCATCCATCAGGCGCATTTGAGAGCACTGAAAAAAAAAACATCAAGAGACAAACAATCTCAGAAGGCAAATAAATGTATTTGCTGTCACCCAGGAGAATAGTATTTTAAAAACAAAATTTAAAATAGAGATATATTTCAAATGACAATGTTTGAAGATGAAGTCTATGGTGTGGTCTTTAAGGAATAAGGTATACCTTCAAATATTGTTTTGTATATTTAACTTCATTTGCTATCAAGTAAGATATTAAAGATTATAATTTAATAGAAAACAAAGGTTTTCTCTGTTACTTCTGTCATATTTCAATTTTTAAAATTTCCTTTTTACTATTCTAGATTGACACAGTGCTAAGACCACCCACCTTGCTCTATTTATATAAGGGTTTTGTTTTATAGAAATAGAATAAGGTTACTTATACCAGAGTTTCCTAGACTTCAGTGATGATTATGGGCCAGTGTTTGAATCTGATCTACACTGTTTATACCTGATATTCATTCATTGGTGACCTCAAGAGTCAGCATTTACAAAGCCCTAGATATTTTGGGCAATAGCGATTGTCTACCATTGATACGGAGTGTACATCCACCTTGTATATGGTCGGTTTTACCTCACCATGTTGACCGACTTCGTCTCCTCCAAGAAGCATTAGCATCTTATGTAGGGCTGTTGGGTACAGATTTCTTTTCTCCATCATACCAAAAATGATCACTCTCAGAATTCTGTGGTGTCAACAGCCTAAAGGAAATAGTAGAAGACAAAAACAAACTCAAGAGACTATGCTCTCTCAGTGATGAAAAGATATTTAAGCAATTACTTATTTTTCCCTGCAGTTTCCATAATGAGTATTGGATATAAAGAAGCCCTATGGATCCAATTAATACTTTAGGCCACTGTAGGTATAGTTACTTGTTTTTTATATCCATCTAGAATACCATTGTCCACAGCGGTTTTGTTTTAATAAGAAATGTTATTGACGGCTTGCGAGTTTCATACTCTAACCTGACACTGATATCCTTGATTTTCCACTGTTTTGTGGGAAGATGCGTTGCAAGTTTCCATTGTGAGTTATCCCTGGTCAATTTTTCATGATGTCTGAGATTTCTTGGTTAACAAATAACAATGATATGAAGAATGGTAAACTCAAGGTGACCCATAATCTCAATGACAGTTATCTGATGAATAACAAACTTTGACTATAAAATGGTAGGTCCCGTAGCTTTTCACAGTTAAAAAGAATTGTTCACTTCTCAATCATTTAGAAAACTGACTTTCAGATAAGTGACATAATATAAAAGAGAACCTGAAGAAGAGCCACAATTTAATTTTTTTTTATTATTCCAGCTCATTTGTTTGAAAGGGTAAGGCATAAATCAATATGTATTTTTGCAACATGCTATTTTTTCATTATCCATTTAGAATTTATATATTTTCATAGTCATTCTATTTGTATATAAATCACAGGGTTTATTATTAACAGTTTCCTCTTTGCTGTCACCTTAAACGTGGTTGCCAGTAGCTTAGCACCCATGAGTAACCTAGCAACAAGTCAGCTCTCTAACAAGTTAGAAATAAATGCAAACAAAGTATTATGGAAAAAAAGAGTTCAATTTAAGAATATTAGTGCATGTATAACGTTAAAAATCAAGATGAAATCTTCTAATTTGAGGGAAATTGCATTACAATAGGTATTGAATTTTCTAGTAAATAATACATTGCCAGTGAAATCCTTCATTCAGAAAACAAATGGAATCTATTTCAGACTGCACCACTGTTGACTAGGTAACTGAATATATGTGTCTTCCCTGGAAGCCTATTCATTACAGATTAGATGAGAGGAGTGTCTTGGCATGTTTTCACTGTGTGGTAGATGAGTTTACTAGATGGAGTTTCGACAAAAAAACCTTCCTGACAGTGATACATTGTTGATCCCTTAAATAGTTTTAGAATAAATGTTTTATTTTCGAAGGTTTGTGCTTACAGTACTGAACTTTTGGGGGCATCATTTTCTTGGAAATACTACAAATGAGTCCACCTGGTTTTATCACATGTTAAGACTTTTGGTCTATTTAATATGCATTTCATTTGCTGAAATTTAGCTTAATAAAATTACTGTTTATTTTCACTGAGAAAATAGGTCTCCTGTGTTTGAGCTGTCAGGTCATAATGGAAGTATATCAGGGATTGAGGAAAAGCTGTAGTTTCACAGGGTCATCAGTTATATGATGAATCGACCCAGGTGGGGAGGGAAATACACACTGGTGAGTTCCTTCCATTAAATAGCGCAGCTTCTATTCTGTGAGACAGGAGGAATTATTTGGCCTTTCTCAATTTGACAGGCAGTTCACTGCACTGCAAGAAATCTTTGTGCCCCATTGGAAGATTGAGGTAAGGGACCGAAGGATAGGCTATGAGCTGAACATATGATTATGCATTTAAAATGAATGCATAGAATTGTACAACTGGAAAGCACCTGCTCTCTGGTGAAAATTATTTTCCCCACATATCCTGAGTTTTAGGTTACTTTAAAAATCTGTCCTGAAATGACTGAATTATTGTTATATTCATGATTGGGATGTGAGCTCAACTCTGACATCTATCACTCTCCACACAGATCTCCCTTCTTTGGGGAAGAGGAGAATACAAATCATAAGATCCTTAAAGAGAGATCCAAACACCCTTACAGCAAGATAGTCTGATTTTATTTATATATGAGATTGAAGTGACTTACATCATTTGGATTGAAGTGAGTCACCTTTAAATATTCTTACACGAGAAACACTTACCTACCCTTGAAGACATGTAGCTACAACTGAATAAATCAATTGCATGAAATTTATACTGAAAATGTCTTGACAGAATAATATGGCCTATATTGTTGATGTTACCCATGATGGCTGTAGTCCTCGGTTAGTTGTTCAGGAAAGTGATATTTTAGATGTGGCATATGCACATTAACTACCCTTTTTGGCATAGATGTCTCATTGGTGCCTTATTGTGGAAAAGGTACCATCCCTTATTTTGGGAAGTTGAGTTCCTAGAGGGCAGGGATCATCTTATCTGTTATTTTATCTGGTACTGAGTATAACTTCTTATAAACAATAAGCTTGCAAAATGACTAATCTTTTTCTTTTTCAGTTAATGTTTGTAGGTGTGTTAGAAAGATCCATGACAATCACCAAAATTATATTAAAATAAACTACAGCATATTTATTAAAAGAGATAAAACACTTAAATAATATATACCCTTGTAGAGGAAATAAAGTTTAAAGATCCACTATGACATACCTTAATTACTGTAAAATTATTGCTCAATTGTGACACTGAACTGAAAGGAACTGTACTTATTGCAGGTTTGGTTACAAAAGTACGGCTACCTTCCACCAACTGACCCCAGAATGTCGGTGCTGCGCTCCGCAGAGACCATGCAGGCCGCCTTAGCTGCCATGCAGCAGTTCTACGGCATTAACATGACGGGAAAAGTGGACAGAAACACAATTGAGTAAGTAATGGCATCTACTCTCTTTCCTTTTGTGGTCCTTGAGCCCAGCTTCATAGTCTGAAAAAGCTGTAGTCAACTCCACCAACTACAAGTAAGGCAATTCACCTCATGTCTCTTTGCTTTGGAATTGGACCTGTCGTAACCCTACTCCCCTAGGATGTCAGGTTGGTCCAAGTCAAATTTACCCATCTGACTTTAGCAACACATTTTCAGAATAGGGGGGAAAAGGAACAATGAGAGTCAAAGTAAATGTACCATTGAAACTGTTACAGGAAGGGCTATAGTCAGTGATTTGTTGGCTTGTGCTGCTGGTGCAGACATGTTGGACACATCTCATTTCTGTTAAGTGACATGATATCAGTAGCTTGAAATTGGCCAAATTAGAAATATTGACGCTAAGAAAAATGGGAAACAACACAAATCAGGGCTCTCTTTGGGGGGAAGGGTATTAGAGAGTCAGTTAACAGTTTATTAGCCTCCTAGTAGTGGTAATTCTCTATGGGAGTTAAATCAAGGAGAGGTTAACTGCTAGTCTGTCCCTTCAATGTTTTATTAGCAAATGGCTTGTTTTTACTACGTATTAATATTTGTTATTTTATTTATTTTATTGATTGAATCATCAATCATTTGTTCATTTATTTATTCAACCAGTAACTCCTTACTGGGCATCTCATCTGTAAAAGAGGCATATGCAGATCGGAAGATAGAGTCTCTTCTTGAAAGGAACTTCCGAGTTAACTGTGTAGCTAGACATAATCACAAATTATTTTGCCACAGGTACACTGTAAGTTCTGTAACATTATGAAACAGCATTATTGTTTTTGGACAGCAAAGGAGGGAGTGATTAATTCTTTCAGTGCAGGGAAGAATCATCTGTGTTTATTGGGTCCTTGATACAAAGTAAATCTACTTCATCATGTAATATGATCATCATACATCAACTCTTCACAGTAGGGAAGACAAGGATACATTTTTCTTCTACTTTTTCGAGTAAAGAAACTGAAAGTCAAAGGCTAAGTGAATTCCAGAGTAGTTGCAGAATCCAGAACTTTTGGTGTTTAGTTCAAGAACTTTCTACTATATCTCATGTTGTGGACCTCAAGAAATGACACATTTATTTTTCTTTTTAAACCTTAAATACCTGAAGTTACTTGTCCCAGATATATATAATTTTTACATGTTAAACTAATTTAATATATAATTTAAAAATCACATTTTGCCTTCTAACACTTAGAGCATATCAGTCATACTATTTCTATTTCATCAACAGTAAAAGTACATAATAAAAGGCTTGAAGATTTAACATCAAATCAGCTTGGAAAAAATAAATATAATTACTTCTCCTAGCATTTTAAGAGATACATAAATATTAACTTTGGTATACCATCTTGGAAAATAGAACCAAGAGTTAATATAATGCATTCTGCAAGAATGAGAAACTTGTTACCAGTATTGGGAAGAGAGCTTAGATATTTTGAACCTGCTGCCCTCTATTCATTACAACTCTCCATTAATAGTGTCCTAAATAAATACAGCTTTAAATTAATTTTAGTTAAAATTACAAATTAATTTTAAAGATAGCTTATTAAGTTAATAAGCAAGCCCAGCATTTTGTTGCTGCATAGCACAGAATTCTACCTAAATCATGCTTTTAATCCCAACATTTTACAAAGTGCTCTGAACAGTTTTTGTGCTCCCTAATGTAGAGCTGTTTTTCTCCAATTCACTTTCTTGGAACATATGACACAGTTTTTAAAAATACAATAGATTGAGAACTTGGGAAACAAATTCCTTTGAATCTGCTTATTACCAGATATTAAAATTCAAAAAGCTGAGTTCTATAGAAGGTGGCATCTGTGTTTCCTCTCAGTTTTGAGAGCTCCTGCTGGTCATTGGGAAGACTCAAGATGGATAGGTCTGATTTTCTAAGATAGCTGAAAAAAGGTCTTTGTCAGAAGATGATGGAAGAGGAATGTGCACAGGATTTATTTAGGCCCCTCATGTGGAAAGGGTCTGAACAGTTTTTAGTTGTTTTCTGTCAGGACAATGTCAAATGCAGAGGTGCAGAAAAGGACATGGGTCTTTTTCTGCCACACAGTGGCTCAGATTCCAGACGAGGAGAAATGATTGTGTCAGTGTGTAGGAGTGAAAGTAGCATTTCTGTGAATTACAGCATTGTAGAGAAATGATCAACTGTAGAGACAACCTTTAATTTAAAACCAACCAGTATTTTGATCTGTGTTCTTTAACCAAACTTTGTTCTAATTCAGTTTTTTTTCTTTTCTTTTTTTTTTTTTTTTTGAATTAGGAATGCATTTTTTCTGTTACATACAGTATTATTCCTAGGGGAGCCCACTAAAGCCTGGTCAAACCCTTATCATTGTCCCTTCCTTAGATTGGCCTGCTTCCTCTGTCCTCTGTGGCACCCACCATTGTCCCTCAGGAGAGAAACCCTGTGGCTTCATTGGCCTCCTGTTTGGGTTTTTTCCGCTGATGTATCCCCAATCTTGAGGTGGTGTTGCCCAGGTTACTCAGCTCAAATAGCATACTATTTTTGTAAGTATAATCCCTATAATCATGCTACTTAAGCAATTCTCTGTACTTTTGTAATCTCAAATGAATGTGTAGTAACAATCCATGCTGAAATTGTACTCTATTATTTTACATCCTCAAATTATAAAGTATGAATTTTTACCTAAACCTTATCACATAAAATATGGGCTTCAATTAGAGACCTAAAATTACTCCTCAGTTTTAAAATAATACCTTAAGATTCATTTTCAGATGCTATAAACTTTTATCTAATTGTAGGCTCTTAATCAGGATCAGTTGTTTTTTAATTAAATAATTATGTCTTCCTTTGTCAGACAGACATTTGATGCATTCAATCTATAATTCCTGGATAATTAAAAGTAATGATGCAGTTGTGGTGATCTCTATGTTAAAAAAATTAACCATTTTCAAGCAACAAATTTAAGTATTAAATGGCATATTTTATTGCTTTTATATCAGTTAGCTTTGGTGTTGGAGAGATAGTAATGAATACTTACCCTCTACCCCAAAATGAGCTCATTATCATATGTTGTAACGGTTCTTCAAAATTAGGGGTTGCTTAGCTAATTTTTGTAAGCAAGCTTACTTAAATTCCTTAATAAGTGAAGCAATTTATGTTATGCATGAAAAGGATTATATTTAGCAAGGAGAGGAAAAGATAGCGAGGCAATAATGAAAATGAGTTTAATCTATTTTTACAATATTAATGATAGGTATTTTAAAATTTTAATTTGTCTCTTAATGTGTGCACATTATCATGCATTGAAGCTTGCTAGACGAGATGTCATTTTTAAGGTAACCTTTCTTTTTTATCTCCCCCCATGTGTATGTCTATACATATACACGTACATATATGTATACACACATATATATGCAAAAATACACATGTTTGTACATATATAGGATGATCTGAGTAATTCTATTTATTTAAATCACGCAGAGAAATTTATCTTCATTAAAATTAATTTAAAAATGAATGTGTAGCTTTTTTCAAATAACTATTTTGAACAGTGGTATTTGATTTCTCCTAATCTGAGAATTGAAATATTTATTTAGATACAGCCAGAATCATGAGTTTCGGGGTTTGGTTTTCAATATGTTTCATGATTTTCAGTCATTTGTCTAAATTATCAAGTTAAGGCTCTCTTTCAATCTAGATATAAAAGATAGGCTCATCAGTGATTAAATTTATTTTTCCTTATTTCTCATTATAGCAGTAAGACTGAAACACTATAACGTTATAGGATGGATCAATCCTTATTTTGGTAACCACAGAAGCAATGGTTGATAGTTAAATCAGCCTTACATTCCCCTTCTGGAAGGTGAAAGGTGAAAGCTTAAATGAGAGCTGACACTAACTGAGCTTTTTTTTTTTTTTTTTTTTTTTTTTTTTTCACATTGCAGATCATGGAGGCTTATTATGTCTATTCTCTATGGTCAGGTTTTCAGTAACTTGGTAGTTTCAGCTTGTGAATGATGTGTGTCCATGCAGGTAGTTCATTAGTTGATAGAAAAAAGACACTCGGGCCACAAGTGAGCTGTCAGGCTATCTGCACTTGGAGCCTGAGTTAATTTACTTTTAAAAAATATTCTTCGCAACTCCTGGACTTTGTTCTATGAGTACAAACAAAACCTAAGGATTTTTGAAGTAATAAAAATAAGTATGTTTAAAAATTTATAAAATGATATTTTGAGGACAACTAAAAATAGTAGATATGACTCTTATCTTTCATTAGAACATGGAAAAGTCTGGAGCATAGAAACCTGCTAAATATATTATGCAGCTGGATGAACACTTTTCTTCCATTACAAATCCATAAAGCACAAGATATAATTTTGTGAGGTTTTTTTTTTTTCTCGTGGTAAAGGTAGGTGTATGTCCACAGATCCACTGTGTGGTACAACTCTCCGCTCCGAGGGACACCTTTCTGATTGTATGTATTTTACTGAAAAGCTGTCTTCCTGTATAGCCCCACTACTGGGGCACCAGGTGTGCAAACTAAACCTGAAGGCGTCTTTTACAGTCATGCAATGAGTGGCCCTGAATGTTTGACTTGAATACCCAAGTCTTTAAAAAACAATTACTGAAACCAATGGATACTGTTTTATATACAGTGACTCTTTTTACTGCAGATTTGTTTAGAAGTTTGTGGCTACTTTATTTACATAAAAGGGTAGTGTATCTGTTGATACCTGTATTATCAAAATATCAGGATATCTTTGTTTTGAATAATGAAGTATGTTAACAGATAGGTCAAGGTGAACTGAAACGTTAATATCAGTAGGCTTCGACTGCTACTGCTTCTGCTGCTAGTATAGCCACTTCCTGATGGTTGTAAAATAATAATAAGTATTATAAGTTGATATTCATAGCCATTACTATTTGCCAGGCACTGTTCTAAGTGTTTCACATGATATAACTCATTTAATCCTCATTTTAATCCAATAATATTATCACTTCCATTTTGTAGATGAAATGGAGAAACAGAAACAGTAGCCAAACCAACATCACAGGGCTAGTGAGTTGGTGGAGGTCGGGTGGGAGCCTTAGCGGCCTAGCCTAGGATCCCTGCTCCTAATGTTTGCAATATAACCCCTCTCCAGAACCCTGATTTCAGATATTTTTCCATTTTAAGTTCAGTTAATTTAAAGAAACCGCTAATGATCTACCCAACTAATTTGAAAATGCTCTGGGTTCTAAATAGTTAAGTCAATACTGCATATCAGTATTACATTTATGAAAAATGAGGTGGTGCCATAATATATATACCTCAAAAGTACAAAATGACTTTCTTGTAACCCCCTACCCCAGTCCCAGTGCCCATTTCCATGTCTTTGTTTGCTTTGCAACATCAACTTAAAATTCTTAGCAAATGAGTCAGTCAAGAAACACATGTATATGAGCTGTGTATTGACACACAGAAAAATAAGTATGTTATAGCAATGGCACTTCCACAGAAGAAGCACCGCTTGAAAATAGTGCACACGTGCATACACACACACACACACACACACACACACACACATTCTCGTCAACCCATGTTTCTTTCATTTTTTTTTTCCCCATGTTTCTTTCAGGTGATAGAGTTGTTACTTTATGTGAAACAATCAGTCAATTCTACTTGTACATATAGAGTTTTGCACTCTCATGTACAAATATACATGGGTTTTATCAAACTGATATATAAATGACAGTATTCGATTTATGATAATTAGAAGTACATCCCAGTGTCAGACTCTACCTGAATAACAATATTAACTTGCCAACTTTACCTTTAGTATTAAATATTTAATACATTGATGAGTCCTGTTAAGCACTAATCATTATTTTTATCCACCAAGAACTGTAAAAGTTTTAGTAAAAAGAACCTGACTCCTTATGAAATTAAAGAATACTTTAAATGTCTGGAGTCACAAAAGGACCTGAAAACCAATTTAGCTCAGATACTAGGTGTCATATTCATTGGCATGATGTGCTTCAGTCATATTTTGGGGATTTTCCATAATTTGATAAATAATACCTGCTAAAATCTCTGTGCCAGAATATTGGGGTACAAATATTGACAAAGTTAATATAGTGTGTTCTCAACTCGACCAACCCTTAATATAAAAGAGTTCTTTGCATTAAGTTACTCATCAATATTAGATTATTCCTATTCTTATGTTTGCTTCTTACACTTAAGTCATGTACTTTGTGATTTAGTTTTATATAAAACTGTCTACACAATGTCCATGCAATAAGCACAGACCTTGTTCAAGGCACAGACTTGGGAAGAGTTACAAAGTCTTCAAGAAATGTGGATAGTAAGGCAGATCAGCATGTACCAAAAAAAGACATGCAGACTCCATTCATTTGCTTCATTTTCCTTATTGAAGATTTCACTGAAGATTTCGCATTCCTGGCTCTCTCTTCTGACTCAGGCCAGTGGAAGATAGACACCAAAATTGGAACACATAGTGTAATCCATGCTGTGTTGTGGTGATAAACTGTACCTGTGTGAATTGAATAATGAATAATGTTTAGGATTCTCAGTGTGAAAAAAGAGAAAAGGTTATTCCAGACAGAGGTCCCTGCATTACAAAGGCAGAAATGGGTTTAGTTCTGTAGGAACCTGAGTGGATCTTGGAAAGTAGGGGCACAGGGGATCCTCCGTAAGTAGGCCTGAACCAGATTCTTTCTATAGAAGCACTTTCATGTCCAGAACACACAGAGAACACATCTGTGCTCTGGAAAGATTTATGTTTAGGAATGAGAAGGAAGGAGGGAGGCATTAGTGAGAAAGTGAAGAGAAATTTTGGAGGCAAAAGAGATTGCCTCCTGATTGATTAGATGTGAGGAGAGAGTAGTGGAGGATACTGCCTGGGTATCTAGCTTAGGCATTAGAAGGATGTTAAGACTTGGCTGAAATCAAGCATCAGAGAAATTGGTACAAATCTGGGTTGGAAAATCATTTTTTTTATTACATGTAGAATTAGAAGTAATGACAGAGTATCTTGACAGGGATATGACAACACTTAAGACATTATATAGTAATTTTTTTAAAAATCATGCATGTCTTATCTATAGGCTGTGAACTCAGGAAGGGCTTCTTGCCTTATCTTTTTAGTTACTTTTTTCTTTATATCTCTTAACATGTTATAAAAGCTGAAGAACACTATAGGATGAATGAATAAGGATGAAATGATTAAATAAATGAAGAAGTTGCAGCATAAGAAAAAATATATTTAATGGGCAAAAGCCTAAGAAATATGTAAAGAATTCAGCAGAGGTATCTTTCAGCACAAGAATTTAATACTCATCCATAAAAACCCTATCCTTTGAAAGATGCAGTGCTTCACTGAGAAAATTTTTACTAGATCTAACATATGCATGACTTAAAATGGAAATTTATATTAATAAATTTAGTTTTCTTTTCAATTGCTACCTTCCTCTTTTAATTTTATTGATTTTTAAAGTAATTTTAGACAGTATGTTCTCATTGACAATACATTTCATCCTGACGATGGATAATTCCATTTTGTCAAATTTCATCCCACTATCCATTTCAAAATGATTTCTCTTCCCAGAGTGCTAACTTAAAGATTTTTCTTAGCAAAATGTAAGTGTAACCACTTCCCACATTTAGTAAATTTATTCATATTTAATAATTATATATTATTTATTCTCTTACTCTTTTAGTGAAATAAGCATAAATACCTGCCTTAGGAATATTACAATTTTTGCTGAGAATATAACTAATGAAATACCCATATGTAAAAGCCACTTAAATCATAATAATCCCCCTCAAGCTTGATATTTGCTAGTTAAATCTCTCTCACAGTATATAATAAAAACTAATGATTTTTCATTTAAAAAATACAGAGTGTCCCTATCCACTTATTCATTGAACATCTCTTATATTCCAGGGATTGTACAAGGTCCTAGGAGTATATACATCCCCTGCCCTTGAATGTTTACAGTCTAGTGAAATATCTCTCAAACAAAGTGGTTTAGGAATGTCCTGGGGGTGTTAGTTAAAAATAGGAGATGTCCATTCTCAACTCTACAGAGTTCAAGTCCATAGGACCAGATAGCCTTGTAGGAGTTGGGAGAGTTTAAAAAATGGAAAGCGATTTTCTGAAGTAACTTCACAATGCATTATAAACCAGGATGGGATTTGTTAAGTCTGATAACCACAATGTCTACATCATTACCGGGGCCAGAATGAAAAAGGAGAGACTTCTTTCAATACTTACTGGGAAAGTGTCATCTTTCTTAAAAAGCAAAAGTAGTGATTTTATTGTATGAAGTTACTGTTTATAAGAGCTAATTAGCTGATTTATCCATGTGACATGTAAACTTTTCACAAATGAACACCTTTAGATAGTCATCTCTATAGTCAATTACTTTCCATTTAAAGAGCAGAGAAATTATAAACTATTTGGTGAAATAGAGCAAAATTTGATTCTTTTCTCATTTCTAATTTCTGAAGCATGTAGTACCATGAAGATTCCGCATTAGCTTTGTAATTGTTAAATGTGCTAATGAATGGTAAAACCATTTTATGAGTCACTAAAGAAACACTACTCAAAATCTTGAAAATCTTTCTTAGATAAGAAGCAAGACTACATAGAAAACAGGCCATTTGAACAATGAGACAGACTGTAGAAAAGAAGTTCTATAACTGTAACTATAAAAATATTAAAAGTTAATAAATCAAAGAGCAGCATATCATTTTTCTAATATAATTATGTTAAGCCTTATTTGTGTGATGTTAAACCTCATATCCAGAAAAAAAAAATAAAAGCATTGAATTTGGTTATTAATTAGTGATTTAAAATGAAGGGCTCTTACTTGTAAATTGGGGTAGTAATCAAGGGGAAAAGAAGAAAAAAATTGGAGAAAGGCAAATGTTATTTAAACAATTCACTTCTATGTGAGCTAAAAGAAAGAATAGAATATACCTCTCAAATCCTGAAATTTAAGATCATGTAATAGCTTTTAAAAATTGTTGAATGTTAAACCTGGAAGAGACCTTAGTGAAAATTTATTTTTAAGAGTCCCATTTTATGAACGAGACTAGGAATCAGTGACTTGCCCAAGGTCACAAATCTTGTTAAAAACAGATTCTAGTTAAAAGCTTAAGCGGACTTCAGTCTACAGTAAGCTTAAAATGAATTAGAGAAAGAAGAACTATCTAAAAGAGCTGAGTTCAAAACTAGTGATTCTTGATCATTCAGGGAAAAAAATGCACTTTCTTCTTAGATTCAAATTGCAAGAAAACTGACAACATTCTTCTTTATGTTTTCCCATTTTTGTTATCACTGTGATAGATTAACTTCTCGATTGATTTCCTTTTGAAATTAACGAGTAGGGATGTTGGTAAATAACTGGAAAATACTGCTTTTTGCAGCTGGATGAAGAAGCCTCGATGTGGTGTACCTGACCAGACAAGAGGTAGCTCCAAATTTAATATTCGTCGAAAGCGATATGCATTAACAGGACAGAAGTGGCAGCACAAACACATCACTTACAGGTATAAGAACTAATGATAAATTACTGTTTTCTCCATTTTTCCACAACTATTTATTTTGACATCTTGTTTGACATTTTGTTTGGCTGACTACATGGTAACCTATAGTTATATAATGGTTTTTTTTAAAGATTTTATTTATTCATTTGGGAGAGTGAGAGAGAGGAAGAGAAAGAGAGCATGAGCAGGGTGAGGGGCAGAGAGAGAGGGAGAAGCAGACAGCCCGATAAGCAGGGAGCCCAATGAAGGGCTTGATCCCTGGACCCTGAGACCAAGACCTGAGCCAAAGGAAGATGCTTAGCTGACTGAGCCACCCAGGTGCCCCTAGTTATATAATGTTAACATAGGGAATTGAGAACTACAGTTGAGAAGCGATTAAATTGCCCTTTTAAAGGCCTTGTAAATACTTCTTAAATATTTGGTCTCATTTGTAAACCATGTCTTCAAGCTTCTTGAAAGAATACTGAATTCCAAGGGACTCTGAGATGAATATTGTAACACATTACATTCTTTACTAAGGATTCATAATCTAAGCGTAATCAAATAATAAAGTTTACAAATAATTGTTACCTAAACAAAATGTCTTTGAATCTATTAATTAACTTTCAGTATCAGTTCAGTCATTTTACTTTCTATCTTTTTTGGCAACCATGCAGATGGATCATTGTTTCTTATTTTTTCTTCAGTGAAGGATGCCGAAGGGATGCCAGTGTCTTCCAACGTGGAGTGACAGTTGCTGCTAATGGAGATGTTCCTATTTATTCATTAATTCATTGAATAGCTGTTTATTGAGTCTCAGTTTGAACCAAGAACTGTTCTAGGTTCTAAGGATATAGAAATAAATAAAACGTGGGGACTCCATTTGTCCTCTGGGAATTTAGTCATGTGGATAAGTTGAACAACCCTATAAATATGATGCCTGTTATGAAAGGGAAGGCACAGAATGCAAGGGAAACATAAAACAGGGCTATCCAACCCATTCTAGAAAACCAGGAAAGAGCTTCCTGAAGAAATTACCTTTGAGCCAAGTAAACAGAAGAGGAACACAAGTGTCAGACCAAGGGTCAAGGGAAGGGGCAGGGTCCCTCAGGGGAAGGGCAGGCTGTCAGGAATACCCAAATAAAAGAAAGAAATGTATAGTTCTCATTCTTTGTATAAATAACCTTCATGTATGCTTAAAGATAAAATTTTAAACTCAGTGTATAGATTTTCTAATATAGCTGGTTTGTGCCATTGGGACTTATTTTAGTTATTTTGAGAAGACACTTTTCAGTGTCATTTTATATTCTTATGCTAATCCTCCCAGATAGCATGCTCCTAGGTTTTTATGCAACATAAAAGACGTTGGTTATCTTTGTAAGAAACTGTCAAACTATCCCTCAAATGGCTGGGCCATTTTAGGTTACCACCAGTAATAAATGAAAGCTCCTGTTGCTGTGCAGCCTCACCAGCATTTGATGTTGTTGGTGTTCTGGATTGTAACCATTCTAATAGATGTGTAGTGGTATCTAATTGTTGTTTTAACTTGCAATTCTCTGATGACATATGAGATTGAGCATATCTTCATATGTATTTGCCATTTGTGTATCTTCTTTGGTGAGATGCCTGTTGAGATTTTTCACTAACTTCTAATAGAGTTGCCATTTTAGGAGGTTTTTTTTAAAAAAAATTTTTAAGAGTTCTCAATATATTTTGGATGCAAGTCTTTTATCAGATATATTTTTCCAATATGTTCTCCTAGTCTGTAACCTGTTTTCTCATTCTTTTTACAGTGTCTTTTGCAGGGCAGGAGTTTTTATTTTGATAAAGTCCAACTTATCAATTACTTTCTTCTTTTAGTGTTTTAGTGTGCTTTGGTGTTGTATCAAAGAAATCATTTTCAAACCCACGGTCACTTAGTTTTTCTTCTGTGTCATCTTTTAACAGTGTAATAATTTTGCATTTACAGTTAGGTCTATGATCAATTTTGAGTTAGTTTTTATGAAAGGTGTAAGGTCAGTGTCTAGATTCACTTTTTGTGCATGAGGATATATTGTTGTTCCAGCACTTTTGTTGAAAAGACCATTTTTTCTTCTTTGCCATCACTCTTGCAAAGATCAGTTGACTGATGTGTGTGGGTCAATTTCTGTGCTCTTGATTCTATTTTTCTTGACCATTCTTTTTAGTTGTAAGCTAATATCACACTGTCTTGATTTCTGTAATTTTATAGTAAGTCTTGATATCAAATAGGGCCAATCTTATGCCTTGATTCTCCTTCAGTATTGTGTTTTCGAGATCTCTTACTCTTCCATATAAAGTTCAGAACTGGTTTGTTGATACCTTCAAAAAAGCTTGCAGAGATTTTGACTGTGATTGCATTCAATCTGTGGATCAATTTGGGAAGAACTAATATCTTAACAATATTGAGTCTTACTATGCATGAACATGAGTATATCACCACTTATTTAGGTCTTTGACTTCTTTAATCACAGTTTGATACTATTACTCATAGATCTTAGGCATAAACCTTAATCCCATCGGGATGCTATCACAAAATACATAGATTGAGTGGCTTATAAACAGCAGAAACTTACTGCTTATAGTTCTAGATACTGGAAGTCTGAGAGGTTTCAGTGTTGGGTGAGTTTGCTCTTCTGGGTCACAGACTTTGTGTTCTATCTCCATGTGGCAAACAGGCTACAGATCTCCATGGGATACTGATCCCATCCCATTTGTGAGTGCACCACCCTCATGACCTAAGCACCTCCCAAAGGTCCCATCTGCTATTACCATCATCTTTAAGGGATAGGTTTTTAACATAGGATCTTGAGGGGGATATAAATATTCAGACCATACTCACATATTTTGTTGGATTTATTCATAAATATTTCTTTTTATTTTGGTACTATTTATAGTATTGTATTTTTAATTCCAAATGTTTGTGACTGGTATATGGGAAAACAATTGGCTTTTGTATATTAACCTTTTATCTTGTAATTTTGCTATAATCATTCATTAGTCCAGGATTATATTGTTAATTCTCTGATATTTTCTTCAGAGAGTCATGTCACCTGAAAAAAGAGTTGTTTTTCCCCCCTTCCCAATCTGTGTATCTTTTATTTTCTTGTCTTATTGCATAAGGCAGAGCTGTCAGTAAAATGTCGAATAGGAGTACTGAAGGCAAACATTCTTGCCATTTTCCCAGTGTTTAAGAGAAAAGTATCTAGTTTCTCACCATTAAGTATGATATAAGCTGTAGGCTTCTTTCTAGATGTTTATCAAATTGAGAAGTTTAGCCTCTTCCTAGTTTGCTGCAAGTTTTTATCATGCATAAGTGTTGGATTTTATGAAATGCTCTTTCTATGCTTTTTCTACATCTATTTATATGATCATATGATTTTCCTTCTTTAGCCTTTTAAATTATTTTAAAAGTAATTTAAATTACTTTAAAAGGCTAAAGGCTAAAATCCATTACAGGATTACATTAGTTGATTTTCAGTTGAACCAGTCTCTTATACATAGGGCAGACTCTACTTTGTTATGTAAATAATTTTTTTATACATTGTTGTATTTGATTTGCTAATTTTTTGTTGAGGATTTTTACATGTATGTTTATGAGGGATATTGATATATAGTTTCTCTTTCTCTTAAAGTCTTTATCTGGGTTTGGTAGTAGAGTAGTGCTAGCCTCGTGGAATGGGTTAGAAAGTGTTCCCTTTACATCAGTTTTCTGGAAGAGATTGTAGAAAATTGGTGTGAATTCTAAATGAAATGTTAGTAGACCCAATGCAACTATTTGGTACAGTTTTTTCTTTTTTCTTTCTTTCTTTTCTTTCTTTTCTTTCTTTTCTTTCTTTCTTTTGGTGGTTATCAATTGTTAATTAAATCTAGTTAATAGATGTAGTCCTGTTCAGATTATTTATTTCTCTTTGTGTAAATTTTTTATGGATTGAGTTTTTCTAAAGAGTTGGTCCGTTAAATTCTGTATTCATCTGCTACGGCTACCATCTCAAACTAGCATAGCCTGGGTAACTTAAACAACAGGAGTTTAATTTTCTCAGTTCCAAAGGCTGGAAGTCCAAGATTAACATGCTGTCAAGATTGGTTTTTGGTGAGGTTTCTCTTTCTGGTTTACAGACGGCCACCTTTTCATTGTGTTCTCCTCTTACCTTTCCTCTCTGTGCATATGTAGAGAGAAAGATTTCTTTTTTTTTTTTCTTATAAGAATGCCAGTCATACCAAATTAGGACCCCATCCTTGTGACTTCATTTAAACTTAATTATTTCCTTAAGCTCTATTTCCAAATGTAGTTATACTAGGGGGTGGGTCTTCAGTTTATTTATAGAGAAGACCTTGTAGATCATTGGGGAAAGGATGGGCTGTTCCACTTACTAAGTTCTTCTGTAATAGTTGGGTATCCATACAGAAAACAATGAAATTAGATTCTTACCCCATAACATATGAAAAAAAGTTAGTAACTATTGATTAGATTAATGTATATAATCAATTTTAGAACTGCAAAATACACAGCTCTGCATGTTGATATTTATTGTTTTCATTTCAGATAGTGTCTTTTTTTTCTGGCCTGATTTCCAGACTTAACAGTGTACCATGTTTATTATCTCTGCATACTTAGGTACATTCACTTAAGAAAGAAAGAAACTGTTAAGAGCCATTATGTTCAGAACTAATCATAATTCCATTGAAGTTGTGTCCCTATACTGACAATTGTCTTGGCCAGTTTTGAATACTCAAATAATTAGATGTCCTGTAAATTTCCAGGTTATTGATAGGTACATCATGTGGTTAAGAGTCCTATTTAGAGTAAGAAAGATTTGGATTTGAATCCTGGCTCTGATATTTGCTACTTGTAAGACCAGGATCGAGTTACTGAATCTTCTAAGTCTCATATTCCCTGTGTGCAAAGGGAGTATTGTAACACTACCTACCTCATAAAGCTTAGGAGATAATTAAGTCAAAGCATTGTTGGGGGAACTCTCAAACACAAACAAAAAAATACCTCA